TATTCTACTTGGTTTATGCAGTTGGGCTGCATTCTACCTATTTCTCTCAACACTCATTGTCCATTCCAATCAGGTTGTGCAATTCATTGTCCCTGCTCATAAACCAAATTCATTTCACCTTTACTCCATTCCCATGCTATTCTTTTTACCTGGAATATTTTCTTTTTTCCCCCTTTCTCAATCATATACATCCCTCAAGGTTCAAGCCAAGTCCCGTAACTTCATGAAATCTATTTCTATCATCTGATTTCCACATGGATTATCTTGTAATAGTAAGCCCTGCATTTGCTATTATTTATTAAAGACCTCTTGTGTTCTGGACGCTATTCAAATTATTTTACAAAAATTATTCCATGTAATATTCAAAAAATTTAGCAGATATGTATTATTATTTCATGTTTAGTGAAACCAAAGTAATAAAAGAGTTTTCATCATTATGTGGCTAATAAGGGGGAGAAGAGAAGAGTCAAACTTGTGTCTATTTAACTGCAGTTTGCCATGAATTTTCTCTGGAAGCTGAGAAAGGAGATTCACAGCAGGAGTAGATGAGACTCAGATAAGAAGGAAGTGTGGAATCTGTAAAAACCCTTCAGAAAACAGGATCTCCCCTACTCCTAAAACTGCTGTGCTATAAACATATTGCTTGTCTCGTAACTGAACTTTTTTGGTACTCCCAGCTGAAATTTGCTCTATAATTGTGCAGAACTTTAGACCAAATATTTCTCTTATGGGACACACATTCTTTTATTCGTTTGCACCCATTTTCTCAACTACTTTGTGTTTTCTCTTGTTGTATTGGATGCATCTCTGTCCACTGCTACAAATCTGTTTAATAGTCTTTATATTAATAAGACCATAAAATTGCTCTTCGTATGCTGAAATCATTATCCTTTATTTTCTAATGGCAGTCCTAGATTTGTGAAAATTTAGGTAGTAGCATTATTAATAGGAAAAACTACCACCAACAACTAAACTTGAAAGGTAGTATAGCCTAGTGGCTAAGAGCACAGTCCCTGAAGTCTGACTGACTAGGTTCTAAATCTTGCTGCATTTATTAGTTGTGTGACCTTGGGCATTTTTAGTTAACCTTACAGTAGTTTCATTATCTTATATGGAAAATGAAGGTAATAGTAGCCCCTACCCTGGAGGATTGTTGAGAGGAGAAAATGAGCTCGTGTATATACAGCACTTTGGACAGCACCTGGTATATAGTAAGTTTCATGTATGTTGTTGCTTTTGCTGCTGCTGCTGCTGCTGCTGCTATGGTTTTTGTTACATAACAAATACCTTTTCCCCTTTGTTTATTCGTTATTGCTTTTCCTAAAGACTACAGTCACAAAAAAGAAGAAAAAATTTAGAGAGCATACAGTGAATGCAGTAATGAATGATCTTTTCTACTTAAGTCAGAAGTGAAATAAAACTATCCAAAAATTTCCATGAAAATTATCCTTTGTCCAGATTGGCTACCCTCTGAGAACCCCACTTGATTCTCCATATCAATCTTTTGCTTTTTTGTGCTACCTGAGTCTGAGGTTTAGTCTTTAAATGATGAGTTTAGACAAATATCATTATGGTAGTTTTATATATATGACTCATGTTGCCTTATTGATACTGAAAAATCTCCACTACAGCATGCCAGTGTTTGAAAGAGAGCCTTGGGTTCTTCCCCAATACTTACCTTCCTTTTAGGGCAACCTATCTGAATCCTGTAGCTTGACAGGTTTCCTACCAGCCTGCCATCCCAAAGGAACATGGATGAGCTATGTTTATGCTGATGTGTCAAATCATTTCTTGGTATGGTTCCACGTGGTATGGTCCACATGGCTCTTGTAGACAAAGAGATGAACTACTGATGGCAGAATTTCTGTTCTGGCAGCAGGGAAATTTGTAGAAAGGAAACCTTTTCAGTGTGAACATTTTTTGCTCACAGGTGGTCCAGGATGCCCCATGCTAAATGAGATGTGAAAAGAGCAGTCAGAATTCAATTTTTCATTGAGAACAAATCAATCCACGTGGGTAAACATTTTATCAAACTCAAGATTGCTGTCTCTCAAGGTGCTTTTCCCTCAACAGTCACTTATTTCCTCTTGCAAGTAGTATCTTCGTTCAGGTTCAATGACTACTGTATATTATGTCCAATGCTTCGGGCAAATGGGTTGGCGGTGACAGCCCAAGATCTTCTAGAATCAAGAGAATTGGATCCACTTCCGAGTTCTAACACTTATCAGCTATGTGACTTTTAGGCAAGTCAGTTAAACATCCAAGTCACAGTGCTCTCATCTGCAAAACAGAAAATGTGATGTACTTCACAGAGCCAGGGGGAGGAATGACTAAGGTGGTACATTTGTACGTGCTTTGTAACCAGTAAAGCCCTTTACTGTACACGTGTCATTTATAGCTCTATACCACCATCATGACCTAGAAAACGAGTACTGACAGAAGACTTATCTTCTTGCCAATGCTAAGACAACTTTAGCCATTTCTGCATTTCTAAAGGAAGGAGTCTTTATCCCCGTATCTATGAAGACTTGGCAGGAATTCCCATCAGTATTTAGTTGGTAATATAAACAAATTAAACAAAAGTGCGCACTAGGTTTTAGGAAAATTAAAGACAGAGCTATCATTTGTACTCCTCTTACATTTCCCAAAGTGCTAAAACTAGACAGTAAATCAGTCCTCAATAACTACTTGTTTATCAACTTTATATTCATTTATTTGTTGATAATACAACAAAGATGTCTATACGCAGTATAATATACATGGCAAAGATGAAAATTAGCAAATTCATGAATCAACACAAAGAAAGTGTTGGTGACTTCATGGTATACATAACCTTAAGGAGCTCGTGATTGAGCCTGGGTCTCTGCTATCAATGTAGGATATAAAAATTCAAATGTACTATCCTTCATATGTATACTAATATAGTAAACATGGAAAACTGATGCTACTAGTGAAAATACTTTATTTTGTTGAACAACTAAAAGTTTGTCTTTAATCCCCTAAGTGCATACACAAAAGGAAAGTGTTGTACAAATCAAATACAACAGAACAAGAAAAGTAAAAGACAAGTGAAGGAATTTTCTGGAACTTAGATCTGGTTGGCTTTTTCTCCTGAAGTACTTAGATAAATTCACTCACTTTTCTCTTTTGCTGAAGAAGTGCAAATTAGGCAGACGTGTTATTCTATGTAGGCAAAAGGAAGAAAGAAAGAAAAACATAAAATGGCTATCTATTTGACCAAACTTCATTCTTCAAGAATCCCAATACTAACCTTCTACCATATAAACTAGTTTCAAAATCAGGCTATACCCTTCCAGTACAAACCTGGTTTTGATGGGACAGAGATACTACTCAGTCTGTTTCAGTATTTCCCTTCTTTCAACTTCTGATGTGGTTCTATCCATATTCCCCTTCCTGTCTCCCAGTCAAAGAGAATGGGACACAATTCTCTTTAGAGTCCATCAGTGATGCTTTAGCTGCCAAAAATAGTGACAACAGACATTCATTGTCTGTCTACCTTACTTGTCTAACATTCAGAATTCTGCATCTTAAGAGGCTGTGGCTGAAAACATGAGCCAGTTCTTCAGAATTTCTAACATGTTATTTCTGCCACTTTCTCCCTTACTTTAGCAGAGTAATTTAATTCAATTTGAGAGAGAGAGAGAGGGGAAAAAAAAAACTTTTCTAGTTACACAGATCAATCCAATTGTTTGGAGCTTCAGAGTGAATTTTTAAACTTGTTGAACAGAAGCATACAAATCTCTAAGAGCAAGTCAGATAATGTACAAAGCCTCCATTCATTGTGTAGGCAGAAAGGAATGCTGGTACCCGGCAGCTCTCAAAGGAATGTTCCCTTGGCTTTGACTGTTCTGCTGGGAACAAGGAGGGAAACACATATATAAAATGAATTTATAATGTCTCTGGCTTGTAATGGCAAAATGATAAGAAAAGTTGGCTGTTTAATATAAACTGTCAGTTGCATATTCCAGGCCTCCTCTCTTTGAGGTTCCTCCCACATCCACACGCCCGGCTACTGTTTAGTGCAGAGTACAAAGTGGCCGTTTATTATTATTGACTGGTGAGGCCTGTGCTCCAAAATTCATTCTGTCAACAGAATGTAAGCAAAGTTGGCATTTTAAAGCGGGGCTCTTTCAGTTTCTGGGTTTTCTCAGGATTGCTATGCAACAGGATCAGTGCTGTAGTCCTCGGTTCAAGCTGAAAATGTTACACAGGAAGACATACCATGTAAAGGTCAGATTCTTCTACTATAATAATTTTCTTGATCTGTGTATATACAAATGAGGTTGAATGCATAACCTCTTATCATAACTCTTACCAAGGTCCTATGTACTTTCTACCTGTCAAGCCTAAAAATATGTATTAAATGGGAAATCATAACTAATAAATGTATGATGCTGTACTCTATGTATGATGCTATAATACCAAGGTGAACTTAATGTGTGTTGTCAAGAAGATTCTCTCCCCCATGACAGACTCCCAGGAATGTGCTGGTGCTGTGGACCAAGTACAATCTTGTTTATTAGTCTCTCCACGCTTTTATGGTCAGAGTTAACTCTACAGACTACTACGTGAATAGAAAATATGACTTGATCCATATAGTAATGAAATTATTGGCACTGGGGTATACTTTATCATAGAATTTTATTTCCTATCACTTCCATAAAATAATACATTTTGTTCATAGACTAGAAGATGTAACTAGTGAACTTTATGAAGTTATAAATACATTACTTTCCAACTCATAATGGCAAGGAGTAAATTTATTACATGTAATAAGATGCCCATTTTAAATCTACATAATAACAGGTGAAGGCAATACGCCAAGAAAAGGGATTTAAGATGTATCTTCTTGTTAGTTAACCTGATTGAAGTGTCTTTTGAACTAATAATTATTTATTTTTTGCAATTCTCCAAATTCACATTCATCACTTGCTTCCTTTGGTAATTCTGCACATATTCTTCTTCCTGCTGTCCTGTAGGACCTCCAAGGTGAAATTGAAGCTCACACAGATGTTTATCACAACCTGGATGAAAACAGCCAAAAAGTCCTGAGATCCCTGGAAGGTTCTGATGATGCAGTCCTGTTACAAAGACGTTTGGATAACATGAACTTCAAGTGGAGTGAACTTCGGAAAAAGTCTCTCAACATTAGGTAGGAAAAGATGTGGAGCAAAAAGGCCAAAATGAATTAAAATGGCCAAATTTTCCTCATTGTCTTAGCACAAGTAACTAGTATCTCACATGTCTATGTAAATCATCCAATTTCAGAATGATTCATTTTATTTTGAATAAATGAATCATTTATTTGCTTGGTATGGAGATGACACTTGAGGATTCAGATTAGATTAAAATGGTGATGTTTTATAACCATAGGAGACATGGATATTAAGACATTAGAGTGAATTCAAATGAGGAGGTGCAGCTATTCTAATTTCATAAATTTCTCTTTTGGCATATCACAGGGTTATACAAAAAGCGATAACAAATTAACGGATATTATGGAATTATTTTTGGCATTAGTCTAAATGCATACCAGAGGACAGTCTTTAAAAACTGTAACACATCATAATTAACAGTTTAGAGGAGATAGCTCCTACAGTTAAAGAGAGACTATAGCAACTTCCTGTCTTTTGCTTCCTCTCAGATTTTGTTAAAACACCTCCTCTGTAAACTAAGCTTTTAGTTGTACTATACTCACATACTTCATATTTTGCCCCCTTCTATGTGCCAGCTTTCTTTTGAGAAGTTAGTTAATGGATGCATCGTAGCATCTTTGTAAAAGGGGCAGAGGGAAGTTCTTGTTATATCAGTTTTGCACTAGTTCCGTGGAGGAACAAAAGGATAGAGATAGTAAAATGCCCCTTGTAACTTAAATGATCCAGCAAGGGCGGGGAATGAAAGCCAGTCTTCCTGCTTTCTAAGCAGTTGCCTTTCTTAATTCATTTCTCTTTATTAAAACTATTTTGTGCTTTCTTCTATGTCTAGAGAAAAAGTGATAGTGAAGGGAGGTAGAAGATGACCAAATGGACTTAATAATAGTTATGGGAGTATGCACTAAAGGGTGGGAGTAGTTACTACCTCTAGATAGAAAGATTACAGAAGGGAGTTTTTTTTTCTTCTTTATAGTTCTTCTAACTTGTCCAAAATTTTAACATATATACTTCTATGAGGAGGAAAATCTGAATTTTTATTAATTCAGAAGCACTATTGTAAATGTCTACATCAAGTATGAAATAATGATGGCAACTAACGTTTACATGATGTACCTACATACCACGCAACGCCGTAAGCACTTTCCATTCATTGACTGGTTTAATGCTCTCAGCAACCCTAAGAGGTAGATTTTATTGTTAAATTCTTTTTACATTTGAAGAAAGTGAGGCACAGAGAGGCTAAATAACTTCCTTAGGGTCACTTAGCAAGTGGAAGATACAAGATGAAAACAGGGAGTCTGGGCCAGGTAGATATAACTAACCGTCAAGTGGTTTAGAAACTCTAAGAGGCCAGGTCATTGAATGTTAGAATGAGTCACTCTGGCCGGGCGTGGTGGCTCACGCCTGTAATCCCAGCATTTTGGGAGGCTGAGGCCGGTGGATCATGAGGTCAAGAGATCGAGACCATCCTGGCCAACATGATGAAACCCCGTCTCTACTAAAAATACAAAAATTAGCTGGTTATGGTGGCACGCACCTGTAGTCCCAGCTACTCGGGAGGCTGAGGCAGAAGAATCACTTGAACCTGGGAGGCGGAGGTTGTGGTGAGCCGGGATCGCACCACTTCACTCCAGCCTGGGAGACAGAGTGAGACTCTGTCTCAGAAAAAAAAAAAAAAAAGAAAGAAAGAAAGAAAAAGAAAAAGAAACCAGGGATTCTGACTTCAGAGTCTGAACTTTTAACCACCATGCGATACCATAGCATATAAAGAAAGAAGGAAACTTCTACAAAGAAATGCATACAAATTGAAAGGATGGAATAGAGAGTAGATTTTTTCTAGGAGTAGAAAAGGATTTGTTTTTATGAGAAGTAGATTGCTAGGAGTAGAACAGAGTTTATTTTTATGTATAAGGTGTTTTTTCTTCTTTCCCCCAAGTTTGCACCTTGGCTTCCCAGACTTTGTTCCTTATCTCCCTATTTTGTTTATGAATTTTGTATCAACTTGTTGGTGGTACACTGAGAGCAACAATGGCAATAGCATTTTCAAAGATAGGGAGTCTCTGTTAGCTTTCTACAGCTTAAACTCTTAAGAGAGGTCAGTATGTGTGATGACATAGGCCACTTTCATAACATTCGTCATTAAAAAAGAATGAAAATGTGCGATGAAAGAAAATATTGGCAGGTAAAGTTAAGTTATTCTTCTCTGCACAAAAGAAAAAGAAAGGTGCTATAATTGTTCCGAGTATCACTGAGTGCCTTTTCTCTCCCTCATGTGAACTTGATAAAATAAAAGGAGAATTAAAAGTCGCAAACAGCATGTCAGCCAAAATATGAACCCTTCATTCTCCCCAGTTTCCCATGTGTCAGCTACCGCAGTTTAATTCTTGCTGTCATTAATCAGGTAGAAAACAGTTACCTTAGCTTATCTAAGGTGCTGTGAATTCTAGAATTTAAATATTCAAATCAATGGTTTGGGCTTTTATATAGGCCTCTCTAATAATACAGGATATGTTATAAGCACTCATAAAAAGCAAAGAAATAATTCTCCACATCAAAGCAATTTAGCTTATTTCCTAACACTTGATTGAAATTAGGGTATTGGTCAATCTATAGCAAAAGGCAGAGTTCAATTGAGAGAAGTATAGTAAAGGCAGTAATTAGGGATGATTATGAAATAGCATAGAATAACACTGGAAGAGTTAGATATAGACGCATTAGTGGCACTGATAAACCTGCTTTATGAATCTTGTCACTTCTTCCATGGGAGTTATTTTAAAATGAAAAGTTGCCACAATTAAAAAATAGTTTCCATGATATCCTGGAAAAATAGTCCTGTGTTTGCCCAAGTTATAACATATTATAAAAAATTACAGTTTGTTCATTGTTTTGTGAGGGATTCTGAAACTGCTCTTATATTTTGAAAAAATAAAACCATTGGTGCTTTATTTCCCAGGTGTCCATTTTTAAAGAAGCAAAATTGAATTTGAATCCAAATGATTTTGAAGTTTCCCTTTGCATTCCATTGGCTCGTAAGAGATATTCTTGTGCTTCCAAATACAAGTCCATATTGTATCATTTTCCTTCCATTTATTTTTCTTCTGCCATACATCTTTTCTTTTCCTGTGATTAAAAGTCTTATTTAAGTCATCATGTTATGCCATATTGATACATTTACAAGAATACTCTACCTTGGATGCTGTTTATATCATATTACTCTTTTGTTCAAAGCTTCCATGTTGTAAATCTCCATATCTCCCTCATTCATTTATTTATTTGTTCATTTAACAAATATTTAATGAATGCCTGCTATGTACTAGGCACTCTTCTGGGCACGGAGGATACAACCATGAATAAAGCATACCCAAAAAATCACTGCTCTAATGAAGTTATATTTAATCATTAGAATCTAGTAGGCCCTTCACTCTCTGCCAACTGTGCCTATTAAGTCCTTGCTAAGCCCTTCCCTTCTCTGTTCTTTTTCTGCCTCCAGTTCCTTTCTCACCACGCGTCATTCTATTACTCCCCAACATAGATTCTCTGAGCCAAGAGAATCAATAGATTCTATTTTCTAACCGCATTCCTACTCTCCAACAATTTCCTCACTCTCCCATATGAGTGTGTACCCTTGCTGGTTCTCACACTTGCAACATTCTCTCGCCTCTTATTCTCCAAATTTTGATTCATATTCCGTAACGAATCTTTTCTTTTCTGGCTGTTTCCTCACTAGGTCTTCCCAATACTATTCTAATTTACACTTGATAACATGTTTCTCCAAGTGTTCAAGAGTTGCTTTATAGGGCTATGCTTACTGCCTCCAGCTAACTTATATGAATACAAAAATTTCAAACTTGAAATTTGTGAGCATGGTAGAGTAGAAAGACATGAGCCAGCAGCTGGGCAACCCAGTTTCCCTTCTGTTCTGTTCTGTCACTAACTGTCTAGTATATAATCTTGATCAAGTCACTTAACTGCTTCAGACTTCAATTTTCTCCCTCACTGAAATGAAGAGTTTGACCAGAAACATGAACAGTCTCTTCCAGTTCTCCTGCAGTTCTACAATTTTATTCTTTTAATTCTGCAATCACACTTTATGAACCTGGAAAAATTGTTTAATTTTTCTACCTTGGTTTTCTTAATTAAAATAGAACTGATTAATCTAAAAGGCATTGTATAAAGTAAATAAGATGTCTTTGAGAGAAAAGAAATTTAATCGAAATTGTATAATCCTATCTCATAAGTTAATTCAAGAAAATTATATACTATCATTCCACATGCATTATCACATCACATGTTGGCCAAGAGGTATAAGGAAGAAAAGTAAGTAGTCAGCGATAATTTAAGTTCCATCAAATGAAACAAAAACATTAACTGCTTTAAGTGGGCAAAAAACAAAGAGAAAATTATTTACTTAAATGTACACACACACATACACACACAGTTACTAATGACATTACCCAATATTAAGATGGTAATTAGTCAAAGAAAGTGTTTTTCATTCTAAAATTCCATATCTACAATCCTTGCATTTTTAATTTTAAAATATTAATAACTTGAGAAGTCAATTTTTTATATAAGAAATATATATGAAGATTTCAATTTAGTCTACTACTATATTATTTTTCCAGATCATTGTATATACTATTAACTATGAAAATCACATAACATGTTGTCAACATAATTTCAGCAGAATTTACGTTCTGTGAGATTTTTATATTTTGCAGAAAAATTTGTAAATGTTATATAAAATATTGACATTTATACAATTCTGAACATTAAGAGGCAAGGACACTGACATTATATAGTCTGTTGAAGCAACAAATCTATTGGGGAGTACTTGCTATTAGAGGTTAGAATAGTTAGTGTCTTTTTATAATGCAGAACAAAGAAAGGGCAAAAAGAGGTGGGGTCTACCTTTGAGAGAAAAATGCAACTTGGACATTGAATATCTCTTACCTTCTTTCTCTCACTTTTAGAATGCTAATTATGTTTGAATGTTGGA